CAACCAGCTCCCAGCTTTGCCCGGCCTTGCCTGTGGCTGCCTGAGAAACTTTATGCTTCCGTCACATAGTGACCCCTGTGGAAGGCAGCCTTTTCTCAGTTTATTTCAACCAAGCAACCCTTTCCTCACTCCATAGTAAGTCATATTCCATGCAGCTGGCCAGAACCCTAAGATACTAAGCCTGGGAAGCACTGATAGCAAAATGTCCCTGCTGAAAGGGATTTCAATTAACATCTCCACTGGCATGTCCCCCAAATGTTCATGTTAATTCTAAATATTTATTGATCACAATGACCAAAGCCTTTTTTTAATCCAAAAGCTGATCCTTCTTAAAAATCCATTTTATTTCCTTGAAAGGCAGCATTACAAAGAGAGAGGAAAAGATAAAGATCTTCCATATGCTGGCTCACTCCCCAAATGGTTGCTGGGCTGGATCAGGCCAAAGCCAGGAACCAGAAGCTTCTTCCAGATCTCCCACGTGGATGGCAGGGGACCAAGCACTTGGGTTGTCTTCTGCTGCTTTCCCAGGCTTATTAGCAGGGTGCTGGATGGGAAGTGGAGCAGATGAACTTGAACCAGCGACCCTAAAGGATGCCAGCATTGCAACAGCTGCTTAACCAGCTGCACCACAATGCCAGCCCCACAAAGCCTTTTAAATCTGCCAACTCATCAAATCCCATAACAACGGAGTGAAGGGAGTATATCCCTGTGGAAACTGAGGCACAGGGGGAATAAAGGAACTCTGCCAAAAAGAGCTGCTTAGGAGCCTATGGCCTGATCTATGCTCTTCAACTGCAGACATTCCCTTCTGTTTTCAGGGTTTCCCACGTCCAACAGTAACTTAATTCACTCACAAAATTTATTGTGCTATGCTAATCTGCAGTTCTGATCAGCAGATGTATTCTTAATTCTGATAAGGATGTAAATGAATTGTGGCTTTAGCAGTGATCTGGTTAGTGCCAGCTCTATGTAATATTCACTCTGTATCCATCAACCTCTCATACTTCATATGAAAACCTTTGAAAATGTTGACCGCTGGTGGGAGGAGCGACCAGGAGGATCGCACAAGGCCTGCAGAGCAGTGGGAGGAAAGGAGAGTCCTGCTGTCCTGCTCAGCCTTGCGACACCTCTGAGCCAGACAGGGGACAGGGACTAGCCAGGACCCAAAGCCAATTAAGGTCAGGGTCAAGGCAGATCCCTAGCTCTCCTGCTCCTCCAACCTCCTGCACGAGCCTGTGGCCAGCTAGGTCAGGGGCAGGAGATCAGCAGGTCTGTGAGACAAATGGGAAACAGGCAGGCCAGGCCAAGCCATTACAAAATGCCTCAGTATGGGTAAGTGTGTTGACCAGGAAGGACAAAATCCAGTCAGCAGAAGGCCAGAACTTCCCAGACCCACAGCTCCCTGGCAGGCAATGGCTTTATCCCAGGAGGAAGAGGAGTCAGGACCCACGAGTCCCTGTCCCATCCCTCAGTTTTCTGGTCTGTCTGATATAATGAATATTCAGCTGCATCCACCTGGTCTTCGCAGGTGAATGCTGGGCGTCTCAGAGCCAGTGCATCCCTTGACTGAGCTGCTCCAGAGAAGGAGCTGCTAACCCTGATTTGATGAACAGTTGCAACTCTGGGTATACCTAAGCCACTTGGCCCTGGGCCCGAGGATCCTGGGTGACCATCTTGGTTTTGCCACTTGCCAGCCCTGTGGCCTCTAGCAGATGGCCTCAGGACCTCTGCTTCTTTAACTGAGCCATGCAAAGACTGGACCAAATGGCCATGAGGGACCTTTGCGACACTGAGAGCAGAAAGTCTGTGTTGGGGGTTAGAGAAGCAGGTACTGCTGGAGAGGCTCCCCCAGAAGGTGAGCAAGCAAATCAGGAGGGATCGAACTCAGAGAAGTCAGGCACCACCTTCTGGACCTTCTGCTTGTAACCCCAGGCCCTATGTGGTGAGGGCCAGGCAAGCAATCCTTGTCAAAATCCCACTCACTTTCCCAGAAGTTCCTGAGTCCCCTGAGACCAGCTCCACCCGGGCAGGCACCCCTGCAGGCTGGGTGCCCATGTCAGCCGCACCTCAAGTCCTCGTGCCCTTTCACCCGGTGACACTATGGGGGAAGTGAGCAGGGGAGGGGCTACTTCCTGGGGCCATAGCTATCCTATTTCTGCTTTAGGCACAGTGTCCAGAGTTGGGGGTCCTGTTCCCTTGGGGTCTCAGCTTCCCACCTTGGTTGCCCTTCCAGGGTGATGCACGTGCCCTGAGGCACTGGAGCCAACTCTGAGTCAGACAGGCCAGTGGCCTTGGCCACCCTCTCACCCCTCCCCCAATCACAGCTTCAGGCCCCAACTATGAAGCAAGGATAGTCATAACAATGGCCCTGGGATGACGTCAGTTCGTCTCTGAAGGGCACTGGCTTATCATTCCTAAGCTTCTGCCCATGGAGGGGGGGCAAGAAGGGACAAATCCTAGGGGACAGCTGACCTCCAGAGGTACCTTCTCCATTCCTGCTGAGATGGTGGCTCTGTTCAGGGCCTTTGGTAAAAGCTGGATGTGTCACTGGCTTGGAAAGTGTCTGAATTCAGCAGGAGGAAGGCAGGGGCTGGAGCTGTCACTTGCAGCTGAAGCTGGGTCCCAAGGGTGCCCAGGCCCAGACAGGAGAGGAAGAAGGAGAGTGGAAAATATAGTGGGAAGAGCGTGGTAGGTACATCCGGGACATGGCGAGGGAGGGACAGTATGGTAGCCACTAGGGGATCCATCAGGGCAGGCCCAATCAGATCTATGGATGGGAGTGCCAGCAGCCAGGGGCTTTGTGAGCAATGAATAGTTGGCATGGGGCTGTGAGGCAGGCAGGCCTGAGGTAGTGGGTCCCGGAGAAGTTTTCTACTTACCATGCACACAGTACAAGGTGCTGACAGTGGTGGAGAGGAGAAATTCCATGCCCTAGTAGTGGATATGGCCACTTGACCACTCCCCCATCCCAGTGAGAGTTCCTGACCATCCCACTGGCTCCCCAGGCTCTGCTCCTCTAGTCTTTCCTTGCTCTGCACTGGCAGGCAGCCAGGGTGGGGATTAACACAGTTCAGTCCCCAGAGTGCAGACATAGCAGGCCCCCAGAGAAGGAAAGGGATTTGCCCAAAGCCACACAGCATGCAGGGTCATTGTGGCCAGGTCCGCAACGTTCCCCACACCCTGCCCAACCCCAGTCCCAAGGGGCCATGCTTTGGGGACAGAGAACAGGATAAGAAACAAACTCTGGCTCAGGGCTTGTCCAGCTGTCGAGGTGAGTTGTGGCCTGGCTGGTGGGTAGAACTGGTAGGTATGATCTGTGCTCACCCTTCTGGGGCACAGACAGCCCACACACAGGGACTCAATGGCTCAGCTGTGTCAGGCCCCCCGGTAAAGGGCGGCACAACCACTGGCTGGACGCAGTGGGACAGGCAGGGCAGTCTGCCATGCCTTGAACAGCTGTCCCCAGATCCAAATGCCCCTGGGCTGGTGGAGACACCAGCTTTATTGGAACTGAGCTGCCCCCATGCCTGCGTGCACTCTTGGAAACACGGCAATATCCTGGCACCCCATCCATTAGTAATCATGGTGAGGCATGACTGAGCACTTGTTATGTACCCTAGCTAAGTGCTTTACACACATCATCTGCCTTGCTCTGCCCCAGGAGTACTGGGAAGCAGGTGCTATCTATTAATCTCACCTGGAAACTAAGAGGCAGAGAGGATCCATACACACACACTCCGATCGCACACACATGCATAACATGTGTATGGCTGGATGGTGGCAAGCCAGGATCCAAATTCAGGTCAGACACCAAAGCACAAGGCATCCTGCCCTGCAATTAAGCATAGTTTTGGGTCCCCATGCCCCAACTGGGAGTGGCTGGCAATGTGGAAGAAGAAGCTAGAGGGGAATGTGACACAATTCAGCAGTGCATCCACTCCCCGCACCCCCTGCCTCCTGCCCCAAACTAGAATTCAGCTGACTGGGCTGGCGCTAGGGCTAAAATTGGCCCTGATGGTTCAAAGTGCCACACAGCCAAGGCAGAGAGGACTTCCTGTGAGAAACCCAGGAAGACTGCCCGAGAGAAGTAGCGTTCAGCTAAGATTTGATAAGGCTTAGAAAAGAGGGAAAATTGGGAAGCCTGCCAGCATTACTGTCTTCATATGCTCAGCGAGGGGAAGTGTTGTGCCCAAACTCACCCAGCCACTTCAGTGGTACCAGGGCTTGTACCCAGGGCTTCTGAGTTCCCAGCGAGGGTCACCTGTAGAACTCTTGCTGTGTGAGGTCACTGAGTGGCTGGCCTGACTCCCAAGGGAAAACAGTAACACACCAGGAGGGTTCTTGCTTTGTCCAGCATCATGCCACTTCCCCATGTGGGCAGGCCTAGGGCCCCAGCCTCAGGGGCCAGTGAGGACTCTGAGGCACTGATCCCTCCCGCTGGGGAGCATCCCAAGCAGTCTCCAAGGCCTCCAGTTGCCAATCACCCCCATGAGCCTTGGCTGGCATCCCATCTCACTGCTTTTCCCTCCAGGAGAAATCACTGGAAATTCAAACCCACTCAGTGCAAACATTGTCCCTTATAGTCAAGAAAACTGAGATCAGGCGGGGAGAGAGGATGTGCCCAGAACATACCCTGGGCCAGAAAGCATGTCTTCGAGCTGACTCTGGGTCCTTCCCTGCTCTCTGTGCCTCTGTACCAAGTTCCCAGCCGCCCCATGATTCAGTCTGAGCAGCCACAAACTCCAGTTCAGACACAGACTTGCTCTGTTTGTAAACCAGCATGGCCTCTGGCCAGGCCCTCAGCCCTCCCTGCTCCTTGTTTCCTACCTTTGGGAGTTGTCCCAAGCACCCATTGTCCTTGGGCACAGATCTACCAAGAGGGCTCCCCAGGCCTCAGGGGTGGGGCAGGGAAGGTGGCCAGGCTGGACAGGTATGGGACAGGCAACCACTCAGCGCACCTTTTCTCTCTTGCACCCGCATTCCCCCCTCCTCCCACGCAGGTTACGGCCACGCAGCGCCCAGTACGGATGGCGGCAAAGTATTCTGCATGTTCTACGCGCTACTGGGCATCCCACTCACACTGGTCATGTTCCAGAGCCTGGGCGAGCGCATCAACACGTTCGTGCGCCACCTGCTGCACCGCGCCAAGAAGGGGCTGGGCATGCGGCGCGCTGACGTGTCCATGGCCAACATGGTGCTCATCGGCTTCTTCTCCTGCATGAGCACGCTGTGCATTGGCGCCGCCGCCTTCTCCTACTACGAGCGCTGGACCTTCTTCCAGGCCTACTACTACTGCTTCATCACGCTCACTACCATCGGCTTCGGCGACTACGTGGCGCTGCAGAAGGACCAGGCGCTGCAGACACAGCCGCAGTACGTGGCCTTCAGCTTCGTCTACATCCTCACGGGCCTTACGGTCATCGGCGCCTTCCTCAACCTCGTGGTGCTGCGCTTCATGACCATGAACGCCGAGGACGAGAAGCGCGACGCCGAGCACCGCGCGCTGCTCACGCGCAACGGGCAGGTGGGCGGGCTGGGCGGCTGCCTGGGTGGCGTGGGCTTGGGCTTGGGTGGCGGCGCGGGGGGCGGCGGCTGCGGAAGCAGCAGCGGCGGCGGTGGCAGCGTGCACACCATGGACACCGCCTCCTCCCCGGTGGCGGCGGCAGCGGCAGCCGCGGGCGGTGGCGGTGGAGGCGGCGGCTTCCGCAATGTGTACGCCGAGGTGCTGCACTTTCAGTCCATGTGCTCGTGCCTGTGGTACAAGAGTCGCGAGAAGCTGCAGTACTCCATCCCCATGATCATCCCGCGGGACCTCTCCACGTCCGACACGTGCGTGGAGCAGAGCCACTCATCACCAGGGATGGGCGGGCGCTACAGCGACACGCCCTCGCACCGCTGCCTGTGCAGCGGCACGCAGCGCTCCGCCATCAGCTCCGTGTCCACCGGCCTGCACAGCCTGTCCACCTTCCGCAGCCTCATGAAGCGCAGGAGCTCGGTGTGAATGCCCGGTGGCGGTGGTGGCAGCAGCGCTGGGCAGCACCCAGGAGAGCGCAGGCCAGGGCTGGAGGGTGGAGATGGGGGAGAGTGGGTGTCCCCTGCGGGCAAGCATGAGCGGCTCCAAGCTAGGGAGGAGCTACACACACACACACACACACACACACACACACACACACACACACACACACAAGCCGCCCTTGGCTCCGTGGGATGCCCGCAGTGCCCCCTCCCCACTGTCCCCCTCCCCTCATCTCTTGACTGTGCCTGCTTGCACCAGGCTGCTGGCGGAAGGCCAGGGCAGGGAGCCCTGCAGATTCCGAGAAATGTGAAGCTTGGGAGTGGGGGGTGGGGTAGGGAGGATTGGGGAGAAGAGGCAGTAACTGAGAGCCTGCTTCTGCGGCAATCTACCAAGAGGGCTCCCCAGTCCTCAGCCAGCACCTGCTGGTACCCAGACCCACCCCTACTCCCATACCCCGTCCCTGCCGCCCCAGGGACCTCCAAGTTCCTGAGTCTATTTGCATCTCTATTTATACCTCTGCCCTGCCAGGTCTCCCACCTCTCCTGGGCTCCAAAAGCCAGGGTGTCTTTTGTCCAGGCCTCCCCAACCTGGTCCCAGTGGCTCCCCTCCCTTTTCCTCCCTTCTCCTCTGCCCCAGCTGCATCCCCCAGTCTCTCCCTCTGTGAGGTTTGCATGGCTTTGCCCATTAAGGAGAAAGTGGAAACCCAACAGCCCCAGACGCTGGTCCTCAGAGGGCAAACAGAAGGCAGGCATCCAGGGGGCACACCAAGAGGGGCAGGAGGAGGCGTGGGCACCTGACCTCCACCACATGCTCCTGAGAGGGCACAGGCACTGCAGCCTTCCAAATGCTGCCCAAGGATTCTGGAACCAAAAACTGCAGACTTACTGACCGTGACCCCAACACATCTGCAGAGTGACTTTGAGCTTTCAAAACCCTTGCACTGCCTACTCACCACAACCCCATTGAGTCTCCAGGGGAAGAGTCCTTATCCCCATTTTACACATAAGGACACTGAGGCCCAGGCGGGTAGAATGACCTGCCCAAGGCAAACTAGGTAGCCTAAAAGAAAGAAGGGAACCTGGCCCAGCCTGCTTGTTCCCAGCCACCAGCGTGTTTTGCCCCCAGTTTGACCTGTTCTTCAAAGCAGAATTCCGACCCTGTGCACCTGGCATCATGGGGGCAGCATCCCTCTTCACCTGCCCAAAGCAGAAGCCAGGTCTGGGCTGCTTCTGAGGCTCTGCCTAGGGACCAAGGTAGACAGGGCTACATCTTACAGAGGAAATGGCTGGGAGCGGGGAACCCTGCGAGTTTGGGAACTGAATAGAACAGCCATGAGAACCAGAGGGTATATCCTCCTGGGACAGCAACCTGGTGCCACAGCCAGCCAAGGGGCTAGGGAAGGAAGGTGCAGCTGCACACAGGTGGGGAGTTTGAACATGGATGCCCTTCACCCATCAGCAGCTCCTCTGGAACACAGCAGATGGCTCAGGAATGTGCAGCTGGATCAGGTGCAATGACCAGGATAGCACCAAGGGTGGTCTGGGACCCCCTTCCTCCCTCAAGACCACCTTCCCAGTGCTGTGCCCCGCTCATCAAACCTTGGTAGCTTCTGAGCAAGGCTAGCCCTAGCATCCAGGCAGGACGTGGGGCAGGGTGCTCAGATGATTGGTCTCCAGCCACTGTCCCCTCCCCAGCCCCAGGCCTGGCCCCAGTCCCAGCCCTGGCCATGTGTGTGTCCTGAAGTCTTGGGGGGACTGCATGGAGGGAAGCTGTCCCACCTACACTTGTGAGTCTTGTCTCCATGTGGAGGAGCTGGAGAGGGGGGATGTTCATGTGCCTGGGACCTTTGTTTATGTTGGGGTGTGGGCAGTGTGACCACCTCTGTCCTGTGTGTGACCCTGCCCTCGAGGGGTCCAGTCCTGTCAGTCCCGAGGGAGCCACGACCAAAGTTGCAGAGAGACGGTGAGGAGGAGGCAGAGCAGCCCGGGCTGAGCACGGCAGGTGGCCGGGTTCCAGCCGGCTCTCCCCCAGGACCCTGGGAGGCTGCTGCCGCTGCTTCCCCTTCTCACCCTGTCCCATCGCCGGCAGCCTTTCTGCTTCCCCGATGCCTTATGCCTGGGCACACTGCCACAGAATATGCAATATGTGTGGGTGACACACCCCACACCCACACCCGGGCAGCCCCTTGGGCCCCCTAGGCTGTGGCAGTCACGGCCTCCCCTCAGCTCCCCCTGCCTATCTGTCTTCACATTGAGAATGGCGCCTAATAAATGCTGTCCTTGGAGACCAGGCTCTGGCTTCAGCTGCTTCTGTCTCTGTCTGCCCATGGTGCAGCCTGGGGTGGGGAGAGGAGAGGACAAGGGGATTGGGGGCTAGGCATCCATACTGTCCCCCATCCCACACCAGCCAGAGGCCTGCAGGTACTCCAGAGGGCTCACTCACACTCTCATGGCCAGTTTGACTCTACAGCTAGGGCCTTCAGGACAAGCCTGCAGACCAACATGGACATCTGCCAAAAGATCGTTTTTTTGAAAGGCAGATCAGATTTACAGATAAAAGGGGAGACAGAAAGAGCTTCCATCTGCTGGTTTACTCCCAAAATGGTCACAATGCCCGGAGCTGAGCCAGTCTGAAGCCAGGAGCCAGGAGCTTCTTCCAGGTCTTCCACTTGGGTGCAGGGTCCCAAGGCTTTTGGCCGTCCTCCACTGCTTTCCCAGGCCACAAACAGGGAGCTGGACGGGAAGTGGAGCAGGCAGGACATGAACCAGCGCCCATATGGGATCCCAGCGCTTGCAAGGTGAGTGTTTAGCCACTCAACCATAAGGCCAGATCCGAAAGATTCATTTTCTTTTCTTTTCTTTTCTTTTCTTTTTATTTTATTGGAAAATCAGATGTACGCAGAGGAGGAGAGACAGAGAGAAAGATCTTCCATCTGCTGATTCACTCTCCAAGTGGTTGCAATGGCCAGAGCTGAGCCAATCCAAAGCCAGGAGCCAGGAGTTTCTTCTAGGACTCCCATGTGGGTGCAGGGTCTTAAGGCTTTGGGTCATCCTCCATTGCTTTCCCAGACCATAGGCAAGGAGCTGGATGGGAAGCAAGGGCCAACAGGACATGAATCACTGCCCATATGGGATCCCAGCGAGTATAAGGCGAGGACTTTAGCTGCTAGGCTACTGTGCTGGGCCTGAAGATTCACTTTCTTAACATCTTCCCTGAAACTGATCAGGACAGAGGGACCTGAGAAATCCCTGGAAACCTCCTGTACCCCTTGCCCAGTTCAAGAGGCCCAGAGAGGGTGGAGTCATGTAGTGATACTGTGAGTCACAGACCTAGGACAAGAACCAGAACTGGGGATCCCCCAGAACACACACACACCCTCTTCCCAGAGTCCTGCTGACAAGGCTTCTCCCTGTTGGCCAGTACTCGGACACCCTCCTCTGTCCCAGTGGGGGCCCCCAGCTCAGCGACCCAATGCATATAAAGATGTTCCTGCGAGACCAGGGTAGAGCCAGACAGGAGAGCCACACTGCTGACCCTTGCACCCCAAGTCAGAGAGCCAGAGGCATCCATACTTCACAGCATCAACCCACATCATACATCCCAACTCAGCAGCCAGCTGTGTCTGCGCATCACCTGCCCTTCTACCATGCGAGAAATCACCCATAGCGTGTGGCCTTCTATTTCCTGCTGCTCAAGGCTTGTCATGTTTCACTTTAGCTCTTGACCCACGAACGGTTTGCTGCCTAGAGACTAAAACTAAAAAGGATGGAGATGAGAACCAGTTCTCTACCCTCCTATGTTGCGGGGTGCGAGCAAGATCACGCCAGACATGTCTAAGGTTTATTAATGAGTCTTTATTATCCAAGCTTGGTGATAACAGGGCCCACTAGAAATAGCAAATCACAAGTCCATATGGCAATCCAGTTAATCATAACCACAGGAGGAACAAATGGTCATTACCCTGAATGAAGTCCATCCATTAAGCTGAAGATCTATGTTCCAGCTTCCCCAACAATACAAGTTATCTTAAGAGACATGCAACGAATAACCTGGGCACACTTACAAAGCTGCAGACATTTACCTTTCCCTGCCCACATTCCATATGGGCCCTCACCTCTCCTGGAACATTTGAAGGTACACAAAGAAGAAATTCAAAGCATCTTAGCATTAACATCTTCACTGTCCCACCCAAGCAGTGAACATAGGGTGAGGAATACAGACACACAGGGGCCATGCTCAGGGGCTACCTGTCCTCAGAATCTGTCCGTGGGAATCCAGAGAGCAAGCAGGTACTGGGGAGGCCAAGAGTTCCAGAGTGAAGAGGCACACAACCGAATGAATGAGCCTCTCCCTATCATGAGCCTTTATAGGGGCTCGTGCGGGGAGTGATTACACGGCAATGCAATGCCACCCCCTCTCAGGTGCCAGTGATAGATGAGAGTCACAGGCGGGCAGGAGGGACACCTAGGTGGTGCGGGATAGTGTCTTCCAAGCTGGTGACCCTAAACTATCTGCCTACCTCACTACACTATCCATGTGGGCCAATTGAAAGAAACAAGAGGGATCCGAGGACCGAAGGGTCAAGCTTCCAAGGAAGAAATGGTGGCTCCCATCCTCTCACTCCAGAGGCAGGACACAGCCCACCTCCTGGTGACAGTTCCCCCACGCCCAGCTGCTTCCTGCCACTTGCAGGTGAGTTCCAGGTCATGGGTCAAAGTCGTGGGCAGAACTGGGCCTTAGCTCCCATTGGTTCACCATGTCTAAGGCCCCCTCAATCAAGTCCAGACCTTACAGGCCATGGCCCAACCTCCTCTGTCTTTCTCAGAACAGCTGGAAGCCACCTTAATAGACATTTGCACATCTGGGGTCAGCATGGCCAGTTCAAGGTGACTTTCACTTTCTCAAGTGGTGTTTGTAAAGCAAGACCACACCAGCATTGACACTTGCCCTCATTTCCTCATCCATGGCCTGGAGCAAAGTCATCA